TCTTTTTGTGACTTCTCCTCCGCTGGCTCAGGGATTGCTGAAAAGTAGGAATTAGACCCCGGGCTGACGCTGCAGCTACTTTTGCTCCCACCTCCTCCATCCTCAGCAATCTTTATCCACACTTTTCCTCCCAGCTGGAAACTTTCTGTGCAAGATCCATGGAAAATGGACTGGATGGGACTTGGAGCAACCTGGTCCTTTGGAAAGCGTTCCCACCCATGGCAGAGGGATAAATAACTTTAATCTCTTCCAAAGGATTCTGTGATTCCAGGAATCTGATTCCAGGATGATTACAGCATTACCTTCACATGTGCCTCTATTCCTTTGTGGCAGATGATAAAGCTGGCACTCCACTCCCAAATTATTCAATAACCCTTAAAAATAACCCAAACAAGACCTGAATTTTTGCCTCAGAAATTATTTTACCGAGGAGACTCCTGCACAGTCCTGATCCCAGCCAGTAACCAGATTGGTATCTGCTGAAACTGAGACCAGAACCAACTTTCTTGTCTCATATTTCTGGGTGATAAAGCCTGACTGATTGTGTTTAACAGGCACTGCCAACCTCAACAGGCAGAGTGACTTCTGGGACTGGTGATAAAACAACCTTTATTGCCAGGGCACCACTCAGAAAATAAAGCACAAAGCCTTGGGTTTACTTTTCACATAATCTGCAAGGAGATTCAATTATTTAAATAATATATAAGATCTTCTCCTACAAATTTCTTCATGGTTTTCTTACCCTGAGGCAAATCGTAGTGATACAAAAAATCATTTTGCTAATAGTCAGTCTGCCAGTTCTGAGGGGAAATCTGTGTCTTAGTTACAAATGGATAAATATGAACCATTCTTTGGATTCATTTGTTTAGATTTCATTTCTGTGCTGCACCCCAAAACTCATAATTGTCATTATTACCACCTCTGCTGGTTTTGGCTGGGGTAAAGCTCATTTTTTTTCCCCCCAGTGGATGGGATGGAGCTGTGCTTTGGATTTATACAGAGATTTTGTTGTTGTTGTTATTGCTGAGCAGGGCTTACACAGAGCCAAGACCTTTCCTGGTTTTCATTCTGCCACATTAGGGAAAGAAAATGGATTTTTCTTTAAAATAAAAGGTCCAAGGCAGGATTTTTTAATCTTAGAGATCTTTTCCAACCAAGCTATGGAGTTAAGTAGAGCCCACAGTCTGACACCATAAGAAAATAAAACATCTCCCCACCTTTGTTACCAATAAATAAATGTTGTGGGGAAACCTAGTTAAAACCTAGAAGAACAGAACATTTTTAATTTCAAAATTAAAAATGAGTGTCCAAGAAATTCTTGAAGAAAAACCTAAAAGGATTTGGAAAGAGTCGATTGTAAGACAGCTGTGAGGGATCTTTGGGCTGTTCTAAAGCAAAAGAGACACTTCAGGGTGAATGCAGCCATTTCCACCCCTCATTGCCTGAAATCCAAACTTAGGTGCTACAAAGCCCAAAACCCCTCCCCAAAAAAAACAGAATTAAAAACACACAGACACACATATTTCTGGTTTTATCTAAATAGGTGTGAGAATTCAGGGGTTTTCACCTGTGATTCATGAAAATAAGGATTTTTCTCAAAAATAAAAATAAAAAATAAAATAAAAAAAATAAAAAATAAAAAATAAAATAAAATAATAAAAAAATATATTAAAATATAAATAAAAAATAAAATAAGGATTTTTCTCAAAGCTTTTTGGATTACTTGCAGTGATGGTTGGCTGGAGATGGTGGCCCTCTGCAAACCACTTGGTTTCAGCTGATTCCTGCTTTCCTGAGCTTTCATTAAAATTCCAAATTTAGTATTCCATGGGAGAGTCCTGCTCTCCTGCAATGACTGAGCTCCTCCAGGAGAAACTTCCTTCAGCAAGTTCTGCACTCAAAGGTGCAGACTTTTAGAGAAAGTTTCTTGGTCCAGAAACCCAGATATTTGTGTTTCTTCATCCAGAATCCAGATATTTATGTGTGAGGCACTAGAGGAGCCTCTGCCCTCCAGCATTTCCCTGAGCAGCTCCATCCCTGACTGCCCAGGGCTGTGAAATCCCTCTCCATTTTAACCTCCACCCTTGGAATTTGTTCTCAGCAGCAGAACATCGCATTTTGGCAGCAGCCCAAAGGCAATTAATGAGAAATCAGCTGAGCTCTGACCATTCAGCAGGGTTTGGGAGTCTGAGCAGACAGTTTGGGTCACAAACACTTTGGTCCTTTCACACAGCACAAAACGCTTTCTCCTGCTTGACTTTGTCCACTCCTGACCTTACCATTATGATTTATTATTCTAGTAACTCGGAAACATTTCAGTATCTGCTATGGGCTCTTAGGCTGTAGAGTTTTATAGGATTCTCTTAGTGAAAATTCATCCCTAAAAGGAAAATGACAGTGACACCAGGAATGAGAAATGTTGTGATTTAGGAATTGTACAGTGCCATGAGGGCACATTGCTGTGGGAAATCCTCCCTGGAAGTGTCCAAGGATGGCCTGGATGTGGCACTCAGTGCTCTGGGCTGGGTGACAAGGTGGGGATGGATCACAAATTGCACTGGGATGGCTTTTCCAGCCTCAGTGACTCTGGTATTCTGTGAAAGAGCCTCAGAGTTTAAAAAACTTACCATGTCAGTCTTCTGGACAGAAGAATGCCTCGTGGGAGGAGCAGGTTTTATTGAGATACATTAAATAATTAATAAATTCTAAATACCTATGCATTTCAGTACAGAGGACATTGAGTAATTCTACAAATACATGATCACACACCTCTGCTGTTTGCTGAAACAGAAAGATTTTCTAAATCTTCATTTAGGGATGCTGTTTAGGGACCCAGTGCATCATCACCTTGGAGAGACCTTGCACAGTCCTGGTCAGCTCAGGAATTTTCAGTAATATTTTCAGCAGTGATGAGATCAATAGGGTGGATATCTGGCTTCCCCTGTTGCTGCATTTCAGTTTGAATTTCCATCCCCTAATCTGCTTTACATTGAACAGCACAGCTCTTCCCTTAGAGAGCATTTCAGGCTGGCCTTGTACATCCATCATGGAATAAATAAAAGGGAAAAATTCTCAAATACCTGTCACAAATATTTGCTCAGGCTTTGGGAAGGCTCTGCCAAACTTCCAGCTCAGGTGTACGTCAAACATCTGAAGGAGGGATCCTCTCTTGCCTCTCAGACCTGCAATGGTTTGACCCAGAGTTTTTTTGTTAAACACCAGACCTCAGGAATATTAATATTATTTGAAAGACAGTCCCTTGAAACAGCAGAATAAGTAGATTTTCATAGATCTGCCAGGAGTTGATGATATAGTGGAGTGGGATTTTTTTTATTTTTTAAAAAAAAAATAAATCAAGAGTGAAATGTCTGCGATTGAGGCAGGCCCAGAAGACGGGATGAGGAAAGCTCCAACACGTGTGAGCACGGACAGGGAGGGTCAGGGATTCTGAAGCCACATCTGGATCCAATGCTGGGCCACTTTTTCACTTTGGAATGATTCGCACCAAAGGCATCAGGCAGAAACATCCCTGACCTTTCCAGGGAGGCAGGGACGAGGAGTTTAGTGGCTGATATAAAGATCTGCCTTAGGAAAGCTTGGCACTTCCCAAAGGAGCCTTGCCAGTGGCAGTGGTCACAAAACACAGGGAAAGTTTACAGCCTCTTATTCCAGAAGAATATTGGGATACTTGTGTAATTAATGCTTCTCAGTGATGCGGCCTAGTGGTAAACAAACACAATTCCAGTTCAGATATTGAGGTTTCCAGTTCAGATATTGGTGTCTGCAACATTCCCAAGGCAGTTTAGGCTTTCAAGCCCAATTCTTTGGGAAGGATTGTCCATCTACAAGGCTCAACCATCCCCAAATCTGTGCTCATCTCTCCGAGTGCCCGTTCCCGCTGTACTCGGCACTGGTGAGGCCTCACTCAGGTCCTGTGCCCAGTTTGGGGCTCTTCATTTCTAAAAGGACATTGAGGGGCTGGAGCATGTCCAGGGAAAGGAACAGAGCTGGGAAGGGGCTGGAACACAAATCTGATGAGGAGAGGAGCTGGGAAAGGGGCTCAGCCTGGAGCAAAGGAGGCTCAGGGGGCCCTTGTGGCTCTGCACAAGTCCCTGGCAGGAGGGGACAGCCGGGGGGGTCGGGCTCTGCTGCCGTGTCCCAAGGGAGAGATGAAACGGCCTCAAATGGCACCAGGGGAGTCTCAGGGTAGAGACTGGAAAAGAAAATTTCCCTGGAAGAGCGGTCAGGCCTTGGGATGAGCTGCCCAGGGAGGTTTGGAGTGGCTGGAATTGTCACAGAGGAGTCTGGATGTGACCCTTGGGGACAGGGTTTGGGGTGATGCTGCTGGGACTGGGGTGGCACTGGATGATCCTGGAGGGCTCTTCCAGCCTTGATGAGTCCGTGATTCCCAAAGGCACGAACTCAGCAGCAGCAGCACAACTTCATTTGGGAACGGGAGCAGTTTGGGGACAGGAGAGCTCCGGAGCATCTCCAGCCCAGGCCGGGCAGACCCGCAGAGCACACTGACATCTAGCGGGGTCGGGGGAAAGCACCGCCTTGTCTCCTGTGCTGCCAAAAAATCCCAAAAAAACACTTCACAGAAGCGTTTTGCAGCTCACCGATTTTCAGCCATCGGGCAGGGCCTGAAAAGTGCCTGTCCCTGGATCCCTGGAAGTGCCCAAGGGCAGGTTGGGTGAGGCCTGGAGCAGCCTGGGGTAGTGGAAAGTTCTCTGTTCATGTCAGGGGATTGGAATAAGATGATCTTTAAGGTCCCTTCTGACACAAATCATTCTCTGATTAACACAGAGAAAGTCGAGCCTCTTCCTTGTTCCATCCCTATTTTGGCCACGGTTTCCAGCTATTTTCCAGGTGCAGCTGACAAGTGCCCTTTAGGGTTTGAGAAGGACAAGACATCTCTACAGACTTTCCTGAAAAGGGAAGTGACTCTTGGTAGGGGAATGTAGCAGGAGAAAGGAACAAGAAAAAGTGAAGGTAAAATATTTTCAGGAACGTTCTTTTAATATGACTTCCTTCCTTATTTTAGCTACATCCTTTCAAGTTCATATTACAAAAAAACAGGGGCTCTGGTGTTGGGTTTGAGGGGTAGGAAAATTAATTACCCATCCTGGTCTGATCCTGCAGCTGAATCCCTGCCATAACCCACACTGCTGCAAGGAAAAAGGGAATTAATAGTGGATATTAGACTGAAGTGACCCCATCTCAGCCAGTCCTGCCCAGCTGCATCTGTTGTCTTCATTTCAGTGCCCATCCCTCCAAAACTCCCAGCCCCTGGTCTCTAGGAGACTGTAAACAATCAGCTGAACCCGATGCTCCTTTTTCCAGCATTGTGTCCTGCCCGGAGCAGGCGAGCTCTGCTTTCCGACACCTCCCCTGCCATGACAAATTTAGACAGCTTGGGTCATGTCCTCCCAGCTGGGTCCTGACACGAGGCTCCTCCTCAGCAAATCTGCCTGGAGCATTTCGAGGTGGGACGATGTGTTTGGAATTCCTGCTCTGGAGGTCTCCTTGAACCCTGCCCTCTGGGAGCTGCTGGGCTCATCCTCCGTGGCATCTCCTGGTGATCTGTGTCACCTCCAAGGGACCTGTGTCACCTCCAAGGGATCCATGTCACCTCCAAGGGATCCGTGCCAGATCTCTGAGCCTGTAGGAAAGCAGCTGATGCAGAGACAGGATCAGCTCTTCACTTTCCACACAGCAGGACAGCCCTAGGATGGGGGTGAGCATTTCCCTGCCTGCCATGGATTTTCTGCTTCCCAAAGAACAGGGAATGTCTCCTGTCTATCCAAGGGGGTGATGGTGTCACTCCTCAGCTCCTGTAACCCACCAGGGATCACCTCCACAAGCTGTGCTGATGTTCCTGAAGCACAGAGAGGGAAAATCTTCTGGGATTCCAGAGAGCTGCACGTAAGTCACCGGGGTGGAGAGCAGGCTCTTCTGGTCTTTCCTGTTAAATACAAGGATGACAGAGAACAGATGACAAAATCTATTTTTCTGAGCAATGTAAAGCTGATTATTTTCAGGATGAAATGTATAAGCTTATGTTTTAATTAGGGCTTAAAAAAATTCCAGCTCCTCCACAGGTTGAGTTTATAAGAGTGGGATGTTTGCTTAGTGCTGTTCCAAATTTCAGAAGATTCCTCTTCTCCTGACTTATTAAGAATTGGAAAAAAAAATTAAAAAAAAAGGCAACACCATGTGTTAAGAGGGTATGAAACTTCAGGGGAAGAGAGCTGGGAGTGATTTTATTTTTTTTGTATTTTCACCTAAATAAACAGAGTTTATTCCAGCCTGCTGTGAGCACAGAGAGCTGTTTTAGCTGCTTGGCAATGTTCCTGTTGTTTGTAACTAAACAGCACCAGCCAAAGGAACTTTTTGGTACCTCACTGATTGCTTCTAAACAGCTTCCCTGCCATGGCTGCACAAGTCAACATCAGAAGTTTGCACTGAATTTTAGGTCCAGCTGTGAAAGGCTCAGAATTTTAAATAATAATATTATTATTAATAATAATAGCACATCATCCTCTACATCTAAATAAAAGTCAGGCCAAAGACGCCCAGATGGGCAAAGTTTCATTTTACAGTAATTGCCACCTTATTTCTGTACAAACTTCAGGTTCTGGAGAGCATTTTCTTGTGTTCTGTTCACATCACAGGTTGCCAAAATTTCTTGGAGCCTTCTTAGCTTTTGGACAAGTGCAGACAGTTCTGAAGGAGCAGAAACTGTTTGAAAGGATCCAGAGAACTGGTTCACACACTCCTGAGTACAAATTGAACTCAGCTCTGCCAAGCACTAACCCAAACAGAGCCAGCCTGTAATAAAGCCCAAGAACTTATTAATTCTCAGAGTGCAGGTGCTGGGTCTGCTGCTCCTGCAGGTTTGGTCTGTGCTGCTCTTGTGGTGGTTTTCCCATTCTGGTTTAAGTGTTTGGGTCAAACTTTACAATACAGGGATGGAGGGAGCTGTAATTAGCAGGGGAACTCAAGAATTGAGGATATTAACTCACAAAAGCTGCTCACCTTTTCCCAGCTCTTTCAGAAGCCAGGGAAGGGGAATAGGGAACATCCACCTTGTTAAGATCCAGTGGCCTACATTTCAAGTGCTGATGCAGTAACCTGAACCCCCTGGCATTATTTTCCAAGCTCTCTGCCAGTGCAGAGCATTCAATTTAACATCCTGGTGGTGCTCAGCTCGCTCCTTGCTGCAGCAATGCCCCTCAGAGTGGCAGGACCTGCACAAACCCTTCTCCAGCAGGACAAAGTTTCCATTTTTCCTGCCCAGATGAAATTCCACTCGCAGGTGTGGGGTGTTTTATTTGTTGGAGAGGGGTAATGAATACTGGAGCAAAGCTCAGGCCTGGAAGAAGGCAGCAGGATGAGGGAGGATTTAGACACAGGATGAAAATTGTAAAACTGGCTTTAATATTGCCATTACTCTTCCAGAAGAGGGAGAGAGTATGTTAACAATTTTATAATAGAGGCAAACACAATACAAAATTAAACCTCTGAGAGATCCCCCTGCCTTTCTTCTCTACTCAGGCTATATTTCTTTTTTTGTTGGGATTTTTTTAAAGCAATAACCAAACTTCCTTCACAAGTCCTCAGTACTTACAGAAAATCAGGACACAAAGGCATCTCAGTTCCTGAGTCATATCCATAATTATATGATTGAAATAGCAAATGTCATCAATAAGGCTGTGTTTGTCTCTCACAAACATTCCCTGTCAGGTCATTGTTTGGGATAAACTTGTGACCTGGATGCGATTTCTCCCACAGATTAGAGCAGAGCAGTTACAACTGCGCTTGAAACACACATTTAATGTTAATTTTGAGCTCATCAACCAGCCTTGAGAGAGCAGGAGCTTCTGAGCTATCAGGTCCATGAGCATTTTATGAAAATAAGCAGCAAGGCAGAGAAAACTGTCCTTGGAATGCTTCCAGGGTATGAAAGGCAGCAGCAGAGCTGCGTTTACTGCACAGTTCCACCACGGGGATGCTCAGTGCTCTGCAGGAAACATGATTTTTCAGCCCACTTCTTAATAAATTCACGTACTTAGAATTTCAGATTCACTGAGGTTGGAAAAGGGATGCAAGATCACCAAGATGTGACCCCACCTTGTCCCCAGCCCAGAGCCCTGAGTGCCACGTCCAGGTGACACCTGCAGGGATGGGCACTGCAAAGCTCCCTGGGCAGCCCCTGCCAAGGCCTGAGCTCCCTTTCCATGGGCAAATTCCTGCTGCTGTCCACCCTGAGCCTCCCCTGGCCCCACCTGAGGCTGTTCTTGCCCTGTCAAACCTTCACCCTGTTACAGACCAAGTGATGGAAGGGTTGGGATCATCCTGGGGGACAGAGAGTTGGGGAAGCAGCTGGGAAATCCAACCCAGGAACCCTCTGGAGCCATTCAGGATGTTCAGAGGGAGGTGGGTGCTGAATGAAGGTCCCAACTCTCACACCAGTTACCCAAACCCCCTCATCTCCCTAAGAAATGAAAATGCCACAGGTTGATTACAACTCCAGATTTCCTCAGCTTTTGCTCATTTCATTGTCCCAACAGAGGTGAGCAGGGGAAAATCTTTTCTCTTTCAGGTTCTGAAGCAAACATTAAACAACAAGAAGAGAGCTGGGAGCCAGTGCCATCCTCACTTGAGCTCTCACTCCAGCTACAAAGCAGTTTGGCTCAGAGAAGGCAGCCACAGGCAGAAAACTGGGGAATTTTAAAACTCCTGTGTAAACCAGAGCCCTTACAGGGACAAGTGAGTAAATGATACAATTTTTTCACAGAGCTGCACTCTTCTAACCCTCCCTCCCCCAAACTCAGAAGGACTAAGTCTGAACCTGCTTCTCCCCACTCTCTTCTGCATTTTAATCCCCAGCAGAGCAGAACTGAGGATTGTCCTGTCCTCAACAACCCAAGCCCTTCTCTTCCCCTGCTTTATAACCCTGACCCTCATTCTTTAAGGGTAAAAGGTCTGTAACCAAATTAATAACACCTGAATTTAATTCCTGATGCCTCCCACGATGCATTTAATCTTCCAGCAGTATGTAACTATTGAATTTTTGGGGTGGGCTAAAAACACCTGCCAGAAAACTCCATGTTTTCTCTTTCTATGTTTTCAAGATTGGGCTAAATTTTGGAGAAGTGGGACATTTTTTATTTAGTGTAATTATGCACACACACACACAATCAATGTGTGTGATAAGAAATAATTGTGGTTATTGTTATCACAAAGATGATGAGCATTTAACTGGCTGCAACTCAATACCTGGATAAAAGGTGCAAGAGGACAAAGACTTGAACCAGTTGCATCCTGTACAGATAAATTTAATTCCTTTACTCTTTGTCTCAGAAGAAGGAAGGGGAAATGAAACCAAACCCCCAAAATATAACATATTATGAGTCTGAGGGAGAGATTTTATTCCTCACCCCTCCTTTTCCAAGCAAGGGTAAATCCATGCCATAAATCCATGGGTCTGGCTGATGGAGATTTTTCACCTTCATCCCATCTTGCCTGACTTTTACAGCTTTAATAATCATGTCAATATTGCCTCTGCAGCACAATATTTCTGTCCTTCTCCTAGGGTCTATCCTAAGTTTGCTTAAAGATAAAGGAGGTGATAATTAATTTGTGTGAGAGAAGAGGCAGAGCTTTAAATCCTTTCCTGCTGGAAAGCAAACTGAAGTGTGTGCTTAGCAGTGGTGGCAGCTGAGGGTTTCCTCATATTCCTCCTTTTCCCAGGAGGAAGAAGATGATTTGGAAAAGCCTTTATTATACAGAAGGATCCACTTAGAGTGTTTGAGGACATGGATTCAACCCCAGGCTGAGAGTTTTCACTCTCCTGCAGAGATTCCTTTCTCACAGCTCTTTGTAAACACTGGCTCGAAGCCTCCATTTCCAACATTCAGCAACCAAAACAAGTGTTGCTGTCGGTCACCCAAAATTCAGATTATTGTTCCATATTCCCCATCTGGATCAGCATCCTTCCACTCTCCACTGAGCCCTCCCAGCCCACGGAGCTCTCCCAGCTGTGCCCGATGCCCACCTTGTCCCCAGCCCAGAGCCCTGAATGCCACCTCCTGGTGACACCTCCAGGGATGGGCACTGCAAAGCTCCCTGGGCAGCCCCTGCCAAGGCCTGAGCTCCCTTTCCATGGGCAAATTCCTGCTGCTGCCCACCCTGAGCCTCCCCTGGCCCAGCCTGAGGCCTGAGCTCTCCTCCTGTCCCTGTTCCCTGGCAGCAGAGCCCGACCCCCCCGGCTGTCCCCTCCTGCCAGGGACTTGTGCAGAGCCACCAGGGCCCCCTGAGCCTCCTTTGCTCCAGGCTCAGCCCCTTTCCCAGCTCCCTCAGCCCCTCCTGGGGCTCCAGACCCTTCCCAGATCATCACGGAATCCCAGGATCCCAGGGTTGGAAAAGCCCTCGCAGCCCATGGAGTCCAGTCTGTAACCTGTCCCCACCTTGTCCCCAGCCCAGAGCCCTGAGTGCCACGTCCAGCCCTTCCTTGGGCACCTGCAGGGATGGGCACTGCAAAGCTCTCTGGGCAGACCCTGCCAATGTTTAACAACCCTTTCCATCAAGAAATTCCTCCTGGTGTCCTCTGTCTCACTGTCTTGTGTTAAATGTTGGCCCCATCCACGCAGACCTTGGCATTTGGGGTGAATTTCCTACACCAGAATTGCCCACAATCTCTTTGGAACCATTTCTAGCCACAAAAAGAAGTTTCCAGTCTATGCAAAAGAAGCTGCAGAAAGAAAATATTCAAGTTCTGTGTGTCTGCCCCTCTTTTTTTCCCCTCACATGTCATCCCCACAGCTCAAAAACCAAACTGCTCATGGAATAACTGCAAGAAAGACTCCATGAATTTCCTCCCCGGGAAATGAATGCCATGGGAAACCAACCCAGATTGTGACTGGTTGAACTTTGCTTTTTGTACAATGACGGTCAGTAATGATAAATAAGGTAGAAGAAATTTTGTCTGTTCCTTGTTGAATTAAAGAGAATTTTTAGAGTGGATTGTAAAAGATGGGTTTAGGATAAATGTGGAACATGACATTCAGTGTATGAAATGCAGAGGCAATTCAGTCAGTCACAGGGTTTGCATTAAAGAGTAAAACTCCACTTTCTTGGACTGCAGGGTTGGTACTTGGACTATTCTTTGTGAGTAAGACAAGAAGACTTGGCTCTCAAAGCAAAATAATTTATTAGATCCAGACCACTTCCTAGAAGATTCTTGGAATTTTTAGCATGTTGGGAAAGGTAGAGTGTAAAATCAGAAAATAGCTGTTGTACCGCAGACAAATAGAAAGGGTTTGATCTTTTCTACCCCACCAGCCTTAACTAGAGGAGATCAGCAGTAATTATTTTTAAATTGCCATATTTCAGGATGGGAAAATCCTGATTTTCAGGTTCATGGAAGTGTCTGATCAAAAGACTTTCCTGACAGAGCCCCCGGGGATGTCTCCTGTCGATTTTTCAGTCTGTCCTTTACATTTATCTCTACTTGCTTTGAGCCACGGCAACCATCACACGTTTGGCTCCATTTGTCCTCAAGATGTTTTAAAATTCAGCCTTTTTAACGAGGAAAGAGCCCTGAGAGAGAGGCCAAACGAGATGTGTGAGTCATGGGAGCAGCTACAAAGAGGAACCGGAGGAAAGGGAGAACATCACTGCAGACCAAATGTGTTTCACACATCTCCAGCTCTTGCCCTCCATCCCCTGCCCTGCCCCACATCTCCTTTCCCTGCCTTTCTGCTCCAGGAATTGTCTCCTCTTCCCTGGTGGCAAGGGCTGTGGATCTCCTGTCACGTTCTCTTTTCACTCCCATTCAGTGGTTTTTTATTATTCCTTATCCCTCCTTCATGTCTGAGCTCTACAATCTACAATAATGAGATTTATTTTCTTTCCCTCGCTTCTTCTCAAGTCGAGGAGTTGTGGGTCACTGCACCCACAGCTTCTTTTGTCAAATCCCCAGATCACTGAAAAGGAAAAGCTTGAATTGAAGGAAAGGAATAGAATTTTCTGTGAGTTTTTATGGAGTAATTGTTGTTTAAATATACAGTCAGAAGCACTCTGTGAATATTTCTGCTGAATCCTGTGGTAGGAGCTATTATGGAAATGATGTCGCTCCTCCAGTACTTAACTGGTTTGGAAAATGTTATCTCCTGTCCTTTGGGATTCTTCCACACACAAAGAACTTCTTGTGGGATTTTTAACTCTCCATGAAGCAAAGAAGCCAAATAAACTCCTGAACCTTCCACAGAGGGGCCGTGAGGCAGCTCCAGGGAGGATCTAATCACCAACCTGTCACCTTCCCCGAGCTCTGGGAGGGCAGGGGAGGTTATCTCATCTGTTCTCAGGAACTAGGCCTGCTTTCTGATGCCAAGAACATCTTGGGGAGGTGGCATCCTAAATCCTTGCTTTTCATTCAAACACATTCCTTTCTGGAGCCCAGCTGTTGGGAACCCCTCTTCCCTGCACATGAGAATTCAAAATTCCAGATTCCTCACACGGATAAAATATTCACAAATATCCAAGAGTGGTAGAAGATGAAGCCACTGCCATGTACA